CCCCCCCCGGGTGGTACGCCCATGCCAATGAGGGATCTATAGTAAAGATGCACATTTAGCTGAGGGCGGACGAATGAAATAGAACGGATGCAATGCGTTCGGAGCGCGTCGCTGGCCATTTCTGACGCGTGCTTGTTTTTCTGCCGGTACAAGCGGGCCACGAGCCGGATGTGACTGCAAGGACCTCAGCCAGCCGCAGGTAAGTCGGAAGCTTTCCGCGCGGGCCGGATTCGGCCCATGGGTCGTGGTTTGGAGACCCCTGTATTAGTTCAACACAATGGTTTCATGTGTTCCCTAGGCCAGAGTCAAAGTCAAAGTCAGTGTTTATTTGCATTAACAACCGTAGGGCCGTGAACCCGGGGCAGCCAAAAAGGCAGGAGCCCGTGCGTACAAATGCTGGCTGCCTCCTCGGCCACACGTTAATGAGTGATGGATGATTACAAAATGGAATGAGCAAATACAAAATTCGATGAGCTATGTGGAAGGCGAAGTTGCAAAAATACGTATATACATATTCACTCGTGATGCCGCACTCGATGCTTGAACTCGGCAACGCTAGGAGCCTGAAGAGCATGTCTGGTAGAAGGTTCCACAGTCTGTGAGCCCGAACGTACAGGGAGGAGGCGCTATTCATGCGCGCAAAGAGCTGGTCGAGTTGCGAAGGGTCACGCTGTGACTTTCGCATGTAGCCATTCGGGATGGGTGGACACCATAAAGGTGCTATACTTGTACAGAAGTACTCGGCTGGAGAGCAGTCAACGCTTGTCATATCTAGACCATCCAAGTGACTGTAAACGACTCTCGCAGGGCAGCTTGCGAGTCCCGCGGTCCCGCATGAAAAGGGCTGTCTTAGTGGCTTTTCTTTGAGTTGACTCAAGCCTTTTCTGTAGGTCGGCCTGGTGGGGGCCCCTGATAGTGGAACAGATAGAGGGACAGTGGTACACACGAGGAGCGCGTTGTGGACAATACAGAAAGAAAGAAAGAATTGAACACTTAAGGGGAGACAAAGGCCTACATAATTTTTGTATGATTTACTCTGCCATTTTTTTGTCATTTTTTATTTTACCAAAATAACAAATCTGATGGAAGAAAGTGAAAATGAGTAGGCGAGCTGGTGCATGAACTCCACTGCAGAAAACCCGAGACTGAAAAAAAAAATTCATTGGCCAATAACACACCAAAACTATTTTTCCTAGTGTCGTTTCTTTTTTCGTTATTGACCAGATCTTAAAGTAATCCTTAAAAAAAGACGATAAAAAGCAAATCAAAATAAAAGTCCAGGCGAGACATATTTTTTTATGTTTTCCCGAAGGAAAAAGAACAGGTTGGGTGCAATATTTACGCCATTCGACTCAATTTATGTCGGGGTAGCCCTGTCCATGACGAAAGGTGCTTAGGTGCACTAAACACAGTTTATTGACTCTCATTGGTCCGAGAGATGCGTCACGTGTGAAATGTTCGTTGTAACATTGCTTCTCCGTAACGTAATAGTATATTTGCCTACAATATATGCAGGAATGGGCAAAATACATGGAAATATATATCAAAATACAAATACAAGATACTTCGTCAAAAATGTATTCAATTACAAATCTAATTACATTTCCAAAAAAGCATTTAAGTACAAGGTACAAATACAACCAAATGTATTTGGTCTCCTCCAAATACTTTTCCAAATACATTCCTAAAAATTTGCGTCAGCGCGACTTCAGGGCACCTGCAACGGGTGTCTGGGTACCTCATTTTAATTTTGCATCGCACACTCGGGAGTTAGTGTGCGAGGCTTTAGTAACGTAATAGAAATATAATCATAAAAAAAAATGTTATCAGCTTGGACATAATAGGGGAAAAAATACAAAGTTTCAAGCAGCTTTTTTTGTCATTACATTTTGGTATAGACCAACAAAGAACCGAGACGACCAAGACGCGCAGCACTAGCTAGAGAATTTTTTATTGCTGCAACTCGCACCAGTTACGAAAATCTGGATGACCCGCACATTTAGAATGTTGCCGGCAAGAATATGGCTGGAAATCAGGCTGGAAAGCATCACAAGTTGCCACAGGCACTTATTTAGCCAGTCTGCCTGTGAACGTCGATTTCATCACTATTCTGGCCCTGGACTAGCATCACAAAGTCACTAAACGCTTGTGCTTGATTGAGAGAAACTGCATTCGGTGCAGAACGTAGTTTTCTTCCTGCTCTGGACAGTGCCAATAAATTTGAGGGATGTATTTTCGCCCACAAAATTGTATTTAATTACAATTGTATTTAAAATACCCACGTTTTAGTATTTAAATACACACGTCAAATACATTACCTAATTTGTAATTAAATACAAATGCAAAATACACAAAGTATTTGAAATATGTATTTCAAATACTTGTATTTGAAATACTGCCCATCCTTGAATATATGGATGTTTCAGGTTGAAGTCTTGCGTTATTCATGATGATTAAAACCTGAGACAGTGGTTCGAAAAACGGAAACTCCTGAAGTAGGAAGAAAAAGGGACAGACAACGTCTCAAATGCAGCTCAGCTTGAATCACTGTCTTAGGTTTTAATCATCATGTATAACTTAAACCAGCTCCCCTGCACTTTAACCGTTTTTTCAAGTTTTGCGTATTGTTCATACGCCTCGCGAAGTAGTTCTAGCAAGATTTGGTTGTCCGAAGAAGAAGCGATGCTATTGGCGTTAGAAGCGTGCAAGTCGATAACATGTATCTAATCTAATCTACCTACATATATTCCAATTATCTACATTAAGGGGAAATTATTAACCCTCCGCGAGCCTTTATCAGTCAAGCCTTAGTCATTCACAATCACCAGTGCCGCTCGGATTCTTTTGGGTCTTAATCCAAGTGTGTCCTCTGGGCGCATGTTCAGTTTTACAATTTCTATGGGTATTCTAATAAATTTTAGTTGAAAGTAACGGCCTGTCCTATGTGCACTCATCCTCGTGTCCTCAATTTTTTTTAGCGTATATCCTTATTATGAACAGAACGAGCAAGCTCAAATCACAGTCTTAAAATCAGTACACTTGTTCGGCGGGTGGGTGTGCGCAGTATCGCCCGCGAAGGAGACTATAAATCTTTAACAGTTACTACATGCTTAATTGCTTGAATAAAAGAGCGCACTTATTATTTGCTGTCGATGGTAATGTGCTTTTCATGATGTTCGTAGTGTTTGCTTTGGTTTGACTCGTTTTGATACACAATTTCATACTTCAAAAAGTTTTGATACACAATTTCATACTTCAAAAAGTTTTGATACACAATTTCATACTTCAAAAAGGAATGAAGATGTCATATCTCGCTCTATAAATTTCAACAATAAAGAGAGATTTTTATAAAAATCTACTTCCATCCTTTTATTAAGAGCGTGACTCCAAATTTGATTTTGTTTTGGTTTCATTCGGTTTCTTAGCAGGAGTGAAGTTCCATTTAAGCTCAGTCGGGCTTAATTAAGGTTACCGTCCTCTGAGTGCCGTCGGCCTAACTACAGCTGAAAGCGGACGTGTTAATGGAATGTAAAAGTGTTTTAAGCAATGTGAGCGCGAACGCCAGGTCGGCGATGTCTCGATTTTTACTTTGAAGTGGCTTCGGGGTGCACAAAATTTCATTCGCTTAGGTTAGTGCCCTAAATTAAAACTTTCCACTAAAAAAAAATCGTTTGTGACAGCCCTTTAAACCCAAGAAAAATAAAAAAAAAAGGCGATTGCTTGTTTGAGTTAGTTGTGTCGCATTAAACGCATCATGAAAACTACGAGTCTCTTAAACGGAATATTTTACATAATTAAAGTCGTTCGTCTGATAGATGTAACAATTACAGAAACTTTTATGAAACGCTGTTGACATATACAAACCTAAGCGTTTCTGGCACATTAAGAGAATTGAAAACAGGTGCTGAAAAATCCCGCCTTTATAGAACTGAAAATAAAATATAGAAGAATAACTGTGAAATGATTTTAGCGAGCAGTGCAATTGTTTATTATTTCCTCTCTTTTTTTATTTCCTCCATGTAATCTGACATTGCCTACAGATCAGTGAGGAAGCGTGTGGAGGCATTCTGATGAAGAATGTTTACAGATTTGTTACAAATGAGTTAGTAAATATTCATCGTTTTTCTAGACTGTTTTTATTGTATTGGAGAAATCTCGCACATTAAACGGTACAGATATAATGATCCTCTAATATTGAAGGAGTTCTGCAATATAATTCAATTCAATTCAATTTATTTTACGCCCAGAGTAGGGAGAAAGGGAAGGGGACAGGGGGAAAGGCTGCAACGATGCAGCTTGACGGGGCTTCTGCCCCCTACCTTTGTCAGCTTGACCAGCAGAAAAAAGTAATATAATATTTCAAAAGAAATTTCCAGGTTGTATTCTAAACATAATACACAGTTATGGAGGAGATAAAAAAAAAAGAACGATACAACGCCTCTCTGCTGGTAGGCTCAGTGTGAACACAATTTAGAAAATAGTGTCAATATAAAAATGAACGGCGAATGAAAATGTTTTATGAACATTGCTTGCAAGGTTTTTTTTTTTTTTTTTTTTTTTTTTTTTAAATATAAAGTGCCTATGACGTCGCGAAACGTAGAACCCAGGTAGGTAATTACAGCAAAATGTACACAATAGCAGGGCACGCGATCAGGCTAGCTTTCATTGGGGCTAGTTTTAAAAAAGAAACACCAAATCGTCAAACACTTGAATCGACCTCTTTTGTACGGGGAGAAGGGAAAGAAACGTGTCACGGAGAGTCGACCTCGAATTTGAGAGCAGTCAACCCAGCCCGGTATTGTACTGCGCGACCACTAGCCCTGGAGGAAAAATCGACCGGTGCCCGTGGCTCGCGCAACTTGGCGTATCCTTCCGCCGCGTGCCTCGATTCTGGAGAGTGAGAGGGCACAGACGCGCCCTTGCTCCGCGCCCGCAACTAGAGCCCCATCCCGCCCCATTCCCCATCATTCCCGCCGTTCCTCGCGGCGCCCTCACTCGCCCCCGGCGTCGACGCCATCGCCGACATTGCGCTCTGGCCGGCGGGGGTAAATTCACTCCTTTTAGGCCTAACGCATCTCGCCGCCTTTTTCATGCGACGCCGCACCACTAGGCTCCTCCCGCCCCTATTCAGCTTCGCGAGAGCGCTCGCTGCGTTTGAGAATGTTCGCCTTCGAGGACGTTGGCGCGGGCCACTCGCGGACATTCTGGACGTGCGCGGATTAAGGCGACATTTGTGAGTGCGTTATGATGTCGACGGGCGCGAGAGCCGATGGAGTCAGCCGCTCCGTGTGCCTCGACGGTGCAGCTTGACGGCGAATACGGCTATGGTCTCCACGTCCGTCTGCAGCGAAGGAAATCCGTTCCCCCGGTGATTTCGGGGGAGGCAGAGCTGCATGCAGCGACTTCTCCTTCCCCAAGGTGAGACTGGACGCCATGCTCGACTGCACACACCCTCCCCCGTGAAGCGCACTTGTAAGGGCAACTTTAGGGTGGTGTGAGGGAGTAACGCCAGGGGGTTACCATCGCATCGCGGGAGGTTGGCCTCGTGAAAGGTCGCGCGGAGAACTTTGCCCACACAGGTTCGTGTTCTTCGAGATAACAATAAAGAAAGTGTGCTAGCGACGTTTTTCTGCCCCCTGCATCTTCTCGCTGAAATAGCTCCGCCTTACTCGCTCAAAACGAGGGGAGTAATGTCTGAAATTAAGCCAAAAGTAATTTGGAGAACCTTGAAACTAAAGTACAGGGTGTCACAAATGAAAATTTACACGGTCTTTTTTTCCGCAAAAATAAACTAGACATCCCCGAACGCTCATTTTCCGCCCAAAGGTAGAGCTAGAGGTCACAACCAGATGCCAAAGTTTCAGCCCGATCTGATAACTTAATCAAAAGTTATAAATGATTTTCTGAAAAGTTCAATGAGAAAATGGAGCCCATTTTCGCCCGTTTTCGGTTTCTGGTGCCATAGAGCCCCATGTGTTTGAAAACTCCGTCGGCCGCCATTTTCCCATTGAAATTTTCAGAAAATCAGTCATAACTTTTGATTAAGTTATCAGATCGGGCTGAAACTTTGGCATCTGGTTGTGACCTCTAGCTCTACCTTTGGGCGGAGAATGAGCGTTCGGCGATGCCTAGTTTATTTTTGCGGTAAAAAAGACCGTGTAAATTTTCATTTGTGACACCCTGTATATACATCAGCAAACTTGTACGGTACTTACCACAAGTAATCAAATTAGTTAGCATCAATTACATTTTGGAGCACAGCAGTAATCATTTGATTGCGTTTATTAAGAAGTAGTCACTAGAGTAATGTAGCTGCTTTTGGAAGTACTAAAATTACTTGTGACCGTTACTATTTTTTTTTCTGCCCATTCTAACGGCGCCCTTTGTTTCTATTAAGGAACCCTCTAACCATGGGAGAGGAGCAAAGTTGACTGCAATTGGTGGATTAAGAAGAGAAGTAGGTCATGAATTGGTGATTTTGGTCCAATAATAGACAGTACAAAATACTCGTTTTCAAACCGACAGAAAACAGTTATTTTGAAGTAACGTCCAATTAACTTTTTGTCTAAAGTAATCCAGTAATCAAACGATATATATACTTAAAAAAGGAGTAATTATACTTGTAATCGATGACTTGGTTTCGAGTAGTGTGTACAAGACTGCATACATGGAGAGGTTACGTGAAGATGCAGTTGGCAATAATTTCAGCAAATCCACACCGATTCCTAATAATAGCTTTTTTGTAAAGAGCATGTATTTGCGCAATTCAATGTAAAACTTATATTCTGTGAAGCCTCGGTTGTATTCACTAAGTCTACGTCATTTTTATTTATTGATACTGTCGGTCTTCTCTTGAAGGTCATTACAGGAGAGGTTACAATACAATTTCACGAAACTTGTAACGTGCAAGAGGTACTTAGAAAATAGCGCAAAATTATCACTTCTAAAAAAAAAAACGAATACAAAACAACATGAAAACATTTTGCAACTTCAGCTTAAATTTAGACATATAAAACCACAATATAAAAATATATAGCACCGATAGTATACATTCAATCTTTAATGGCGCCCATTCTTTTTATTGGAATCGATTCCTTGCTTGGATAAATTGTCAGTAACAAACAATTTGCATGATAATTCTATTACTTTGGGTGCTCACCCTTACTGCTATTTTTTTATCCGTGGGGACAGTTGGTCACCTTTGCCCAACTTCGTTATCCTCAGATCCAAAACATTTACCTCTTCTATGAGTTGCCATTTTCAACGCAATTCCACACAACTAAAAAGAAGACATTCTAGGGGCAGAGGAGCCAGCATTCTAGCACGATGTTATGCACAATTCTATTTATTTGAAATAGTGCCACTTAAAGGGACCATGAAATGATTTTTCAACTTTCTAATTAGCTTTCCTCCCCAACTCAAAGCAAAAGGAGAATTCGCGTGGTCGTGATGTAGTATTTCGCCGGATGCGATGACTCCGATCTTCCACCATGATTTTTTAGCAGACCATGAAACTTGTCATTCGCAAGTGACGCTAAGTGCCGCCATCGCACTCATTGGCAACAAACACGAATCCAAATATTCTTCGACGGATTGATCGTTGATGAGTGCGAATGCCCGAGGGTGCATCGCAGTGAAAGGGTGGAGAGCTTTCGAACTAAAGGAAATAAGAAATAGTTCGCTGTATTTTCAACTTTTCGTACCGAAAAAATCGGCTTTTGGCTTTCTACTGTTTGGCCAACTAAACAATATACGATTAGTAAAATTTCAATCTAATGTCATTTATTCCAGCACAAAAGTCATTTCGTGATCTTCTTTAGTACTCCCGAATGTTAGTTCAAGAGAGCTGAAGATTTTTCTGCCACGCGGTCAACGAGCTAAGAGAATCTGCAACATTTTAATGACAGTGCTTATGTGTGAAAGGTTACGCAGTCTACTTTCTTTTTTCTTTGATCACTGGTCAAGTTAACGAATTTGTTATTTTCTGATTGTAGGACACATCCATATTCCAAAGTTCCGGTAGCCATTTATCTCTTCAAGCCCAGAATGTCGTTCACGAAGGTGTACTTTGAACTTACCTTGGCAAAGAGTCAAGGAGCGAACCGTTTATTAGATTGTTTTCCGCAATGTTGGAGAGCGCAGGTCCTGTGCGACCGTTGAACGGGTTCGCCATTGCGTGGATGCGTATGCACTATACTGTAACGATTGAATATTCTTTTCTTTGAGGTGTTGAACACAAAGGAATAGCCGTCTTAATAAATTAATTACTTCGCGGATACATGTGCATCATGAGTACTTGAAAGCATTTTTGTACCTCGGGGATGACAAATCACGAAAAAATTCTTAACTAAAGAAGAGTCGATCGATACTTGATATGCATGGACGTAAATCTTGCGCGAATAATCTGTAAAATGGTAAGTAAAGTCAAGGCGCTTTTTTGAACGCCGAGTATGGGCCTACAACCCGACACGCGTTCATTAATGACGTCACGGCGATGCCGATGTAGGGCGCAAGAGTTCGGGGCGCAGCGCGGGGCGACGCAGCTGGAGCGAAAGGCGGCGTGAAAGTGTGAACTTGGCAAGACGCCAGACGCAGCTGGACTAAGACGAGGAATGAGCTTCACAGCTGGCCATGTCAGCGTCAGCTGCAGTTTTCGAAACAATTTTTTCAAACCCGTTTGGAAAAATGTGGAACACCAGGGTATCTCCAGTAAAAAGAAACCATTTGCCGCTTTGAAATTCAAACGAGACTGATGGAGCTTAGACAGATAAAACACATTGCTCGGCACGTTTTTGAACGTCAGGACGCCGTGCCATAGCGCGAAAGGGCGGAAGTAGTGCCCAGAGCTGAGGAGTGGGTTTGGGTCCTCGGCATACAAAAGCCCGCGATTACTGCCTCATTCTCAAAGCGTGTTTTTTTTTTTTTTTAACGCGATTTAATTATAGAGCTTAGGGAGACACTGTTTTACAGAGAGAGGGGTGGGGCAAAGAGAAAATTTCTCTTTCCCTGCCGGACAACAACAGCAATAATAATAATAATAATAATAATAATAATAATAATAATAATAATAATAATAATAATAATAATAATAATAAATCTTTATTCTCAAATTGCCCAGTACCAAGATCAGTTTCGGGCCCGATCAAAGCCATCAGGGGCTTGTAGGATCAGACCCAGCAGTTTAATTGACAAAAGTATCACAGGCACGGCGACGACGAACACACAACCAACACAGAGACAATAGGCTAAGCCTCACAGGGCCCAGGAGTCACACAGGCACGACGAGGACGAGAACACAACACACACTCAGTTGGATCAACATTGTAGATCCTTCGAGTCGCACAGGCACGACAACGACGAGCACACGCCACCAATCACTCAGTTGGTAGAACCACGGAGGGCCTTGGAGAGCAGTGCGAGGTCACGTGGCACGATAAGTCGTAGAGTGAGGTGGAAGAGAAAAGAAAACTAAGCAAACGCTGACGAGCACACATGCGGCATCTTGGGCGACTGAATTCGGTATAATCGTAAATGTAAAAAAAAAAACAAAAAAAAAAAACAAATTTAAGCATAATTGAACACTTGATGCTGCAGGGAGGACACCGAAAGGTAGGGCGGGTAGCATAAGCAGAAGATGCAGGTCGCTAATGTAGAAAGCAGGAGCATTCGCTCAAAGACACAATCACATACCTAAAAAAACCATTGTCCAGGTTACTGTCTCGTAATGTCAGAAAATACATTTTGCAGCCTCCTTTTCAATTGCTTGTTAGAGGTGATGGAATAATAATAATAATAATAATAATAATAATAAAATGTTTATTTCCTTTTTGCGCTCAAGACAAAAAGAGGAAGACCGTACAAAAAGCAGCTCGACGAGGCTCGGCCTCCCTACCACGCTTTGTCAAAGAGCAGTGGAAGATATATTTTAACAGTATGTATCGGTCATAACTTATTAGTCAACATTATAATCGTGTACAAACCGCGAAGTTTCAAAAATCAAGTTACGTAACTTATACTTCGGTATCCTGGTGATCTCAAGGTTTCTATTTTCAAATTCATTAGGATGTGAATTACGGCCTAACATCATTAAGGGTGTTGCGCCGTAACTGCCGCGTGGAGTCTGACACACCAATACTCATCATGTCGAGTTACATAAGACGTAATTTTTTTTTCCTTCAAACATGACAACACGGAAAGGAAAAAAGTTGTTATTTTGTTTTATCGCTGTACTGTATGCACACATCATGCTGTACTTGCACAGATCAGTGATTGACACAATTATGTATTTCTTTAAAAAATCCTTTAGAAGCATGATGCAGAAAAGAAACGTTTGCCAAAACACGAACAATTTTCTTTTGCGATAGAACCAGCTGTGTTAAGATTTTGCTTTGTCGTTAGGCCCGAAACTAAGTGGCAGT